CACAGATACAGTTAACGTGCACCAGCTTGCCAAAGGGGTGTGTGTCGTGCGGTGGGGCTAGGGCTTTAGAAAACCAATGGTCAACCAATATTGCAGTGGCTATACAGACGTAGTCATCATTATTATGTTAGTAGTTGATATCAACGATTTTTTCGGTACGCCGTGATGAGTTTGCTGAATGATAGGTTCTTTTTTATTTATTTTTTTATATTATACTATAAGTATATATACTTATTTATTATTATAATTACATCACATATATGCGGTCGTTTTGCGAAGCTATTTGGTTTTAACGTTCTAACATCAGAAGCCGCATATTACCGCATTGCAGTGTAGAAACCAAAGTGCTAGCTAAAATTCAATGCGCTATCAAACATCGGCGATCCTCTCCTTCGAATAAAAATGCCTTCAGAAAAACTCAAAGTAGTACGCAACTTCCAGATCAGATTTATAGATTTTAGGCGAAAATAAAATCGATAGGGAGTAAGCGTGCCCAAATTTAACGTATCCTATTTTATGTCGAAAGGAGCCAGTTGTATAAACAATACTTAATGACAGAATCGAACGTGTCTGGTTTAATCGTGCGACAGCAGTGTAATGCCGCACTGCGTAGCATTGAAGCTTAAGTGCAGAACGGTAACTTATAAAACTGGTGCCGTCCACATATCACTCAGAAGTAACTTCATTATCATTCGCAGAATACGTCATGGGCCCAGTCCCGACCAGGACTGAAATCGTACAAAGCTGGTTTCGTCTCGGGGCGATAACAAAACTAAATTAGTTCATTTGATCTTGCTACGAACCCACGTGACGCGCTCTGATATTTAACGGAGTAAATAAATCCCTCAAACATTAGTAAACATCAAGGTCTATGATTGCACATTAGTTCTATGAAAGATGTAAAGTCTAAACACATAAATGTATCCTTTCTTTGCAAAGGGGTACAGTAAAAGATACACCATGTACGACCCCGTGATTCTAGTTACTAATAACAGTATATACGCTTTAGATCAATGGCATGGCCAATGGTTGTTCTAACAATTGCAATTTCTATGTCCTATCCTATATGTCCTATGTTCTATACATATCAGTTATATTGTTTGTTGTCGTTTAGCCTGTCAATACTTAGACCGATATACTATTGCTGCATTAAACAGAGAATGAACAGCATATATAAAAATAATATATATAAAATATATAAAAAAAAAAAAGCTTTTGGCACCGCTGTTGTCCCGCTTGAAGCTTTGGAACATTTGCTTGACACTTACCATATTGTATATTTAGTATTATCCTCAACCGAATACGCGTTTTCAATATACGTTTTTACAATTGTGTTAGTTTTCCTATTAGATTCCCATAAAAAGTCAATTGAACCGTGTGTGCCACTTGTAGTTTTATCAAAAACAGCTTTTTCTAAAGTTCAAGAAAAATACGAACTTGGCACACCGATAAATAAAATAAATGATCTTCATAAATCTTCAATTATAGATTAATTGTCGAGTGAGAAGCTATAGAGCACTAGTAAACATGACAAACGTCTGAATTCTAGTCAATCGTTAAAGTTGGCCATATTTTTATCCCATATAAACACAATTTTGCGATAGACAACTCGTTGCACGAAACAGTGTATGTGGAAAAAGATAGACCAATTGGAACATCCGTATAGGAATCATACGATTCATCGGTGTCGCGCCGACCCTATTAGCACTCGTATATCGCTAAGACTGCTAAGACTATTTTCGGCCGGAAAGCCGGCGTCGTATGCAAAAATAGCAATGGATGTACATGGTGATTATTAGGAGATCAGATAATGTAGTCAGCGTTAATGATCCTAACGTAAAAAAGACACAAATGTCTTGTAGCTCAATTGCTGGGCTGAACCCTTAACATTCATTACCTGACCACTTTAGCTAAAATTTAAGCTTTCTTTTTCGTTTAAGGGCATGAACGACGTCAATGCACGCTCTCTGTTAGTTGATACTTGACCACCCTAAACTGACCAAAATTTATCTCCATGCTTTGTTATCTTTATGACTCAGTGACTCTTACGTACAGCAGATGGAAAAAAACATCGAGTGCATATAAAGTGTACGGCAAGTGCGGATTTCCCTAAGAACGAATTGCAGCCAGTGCTAAGAATACAACCCCTTGCATTTGGAGTGTTTTTGCGTACGATCTGACACTGGGTTAATCGGCTTAGCTCGTCTGCATGCTGATCTGTACTATTTGAATGCTATTAGGGTAAGAGCAACACTGCTTAATCGGATGACAAATATTCCAGTTGACTTATCTCTCATTTAGTAACCTATTACAAGGTGTAGATAGCTGCTGTATTATCTGTATTATGTTTTCTCTTGTTTATCTTTTAGTATAAATCATCTACATGGGCACTCTGTTCAAGGCCACCACCACGTTTCGTCTATCAGCGACGTGCCCTTAGGACCGTCGTTTGGGTCCATCACACCAACTCCGGTCCATCTTCCTATTATCGAGCCTTCCCTGCCAAGGTTTGCCGGTACTGCGTCAAGGACATCTGTTGCTGGCGCCGAACCGTTTCTACCCATTGATTTAGAAAAGAAGTTATCTGACACTCTGCTGGATCACGCGCCGGCTCCCCTAATCGATGACTTCCAGGACGAAAACTATAGCGGCCTCGCAGCCGAAACGCAGTCAATTCCTACGGATAGCATTATTTCACCTCTGTCTAAGATCCCACCCGTTGAGGATAAGCTTGAATCTGCGTCTCCCATCAAGGTGGCGTCGCTAGCTAGTAATACCGCGTTTCTAAAACAGACGGCCGATGCTAGTGGTCCTTTCGGTCTAACGTCGAGTGCTTCCGTTAACTTTCACGATTCGTTAAGCTCTCCTTCGCTACTACGATCGTTTTCAGAAGCCGAGTTTGCAGTACCTGCAATAGGCAGATCTGGACACAAAGGACCTATTGACATCAGTCCTATTGCGCCTATAAAAAAGGTAGCCTCAGCAGATTCCTTGAGCCTTGCGGCAGGGTTGGATTTTACCAGTGCAGGGCATTTCTCATCAAGAAAGTTCGGCATTGAATCTCACGACTTTTTCGGTAGTAATTTACAAGATCTCGGCTTGTTTCACAGACCCGTACCGCTTGTAAAAGATGATTTACAACTGGCAGACCTTGTCGACGGCAAAATATCGAAGTACCGCGCCGCCTAGTGACAATAACAACAAACATGGTGGCAATGGCAATAGTCAAGATAATATCCTAAAAATAAAGCTAGAAAAATATTGTGTGTGTCCACGTTTGTATATATGTGTGTGCACATATTTACTGGACAATATTCGCATTATCTTTTATATATTCAAGTTCGCGTCTGTATGTAGAGTTTTGCTGTCAGCAACCAAACGAACGATGACTTCAGCCTTCGGGACTTCTGATCCGTCACTTTAATCGGATTACACATACATTAGGAGCTTGCTTTTGTTTGTGCTCCGCTATATATATATACATATATGTATATAAATATGCATATATGTATTTACATATATGTGTATAAATATACCGTAAAGCACAGCGCTGTAGGTTGCAGTGGCGACAAAGGCTATAGTTATCAAATCGTCTCTATAATAGAAGACGGGGCGGCTGCATTTTTGTTGTGTGAGTGAACTAACAGGTACATTTTCGTCAAGAAGCTAATGAAGGATTAGTACGTCTACTAGTCCTTGTTGTTGTTTTGCAGTAGCCGGCCGCCCACGAAGGAATCGTCCCGGAGGGCGGCCATTTTTCGATTTGCTATTTATGTTGAGAAGAACATCCCAATTTGGTTCAAAGAGACATCGTTCGTCTGATATTCAGCTGATTAAAGAGAGAAATTGAGTGAGATCAAAGAAAAGAATGGGTGAGTGGCATGATTATACTCGGCTGGGAAATGCTTGCATATCTGTAAAAAAATGAGACATCCGAAAAGAAAAACTGTTTCAACGTCCCGTACCAGCAGGTTAGATGAACCAGTTAGAGGTCTCTATTGAGTGCAATATGGAAATGACAAACAGAACGATCGAACTCATGTTCGCTGTGTATACTTACGTTGCATGTGTCAGAAATATAGTAGTGTAATAATCTTTGCCGTAACGTATTTGCATGTACAAATGTCAGCAGAGGTATGTATTTGATAAAATAAAGCATCGTAATAATAATAAAGGGCATTACGAGGCCTAGCCCACCTTAGCGTCGGCGAAAAAAAGATAAATAATGTGTTTTTGTTGAGGAGGCATCGGATTTATCTGAGGCGCACGGCCGTTGACGACTGATGTCGTTCGCACATCTCCGGAATAATTAAACACGTAGAAACCGTGTTTTTTATACATAATAATTATCGAAGTTCAAACGAAATTCAGTAGCAAATTATTGACCATCGTATTATTGACGCATTCACCTTTCGTAAGTTCAGTCTTAGTACTACCAACTTCCCCTTGCTACATTGCTTTAATTATTGTGATATATAGGATATTATTCAATGTGATCTTGACCGGTCTATAATCACTGTTAACTATTTATCACAAAAAAGATCATTGGTACGTCGGAAAGTGGTAGCGATCATACACACTAGGCCTCAACGTAATGAACTAACCAAGTACTTTTCCCGACCTTGCTTCTGTTTCGTTCGGTTGCCCTACAAATACACGTTCTTACACCTTTTCTTCCCAGTGAATATCCTTCCGTGCTCACCCAAACCCCACGCTTCCTTCTCCCCTGTTCTGCACCATGCCCCAGCTACCTTCCAAGAAGCCGAAACTCAAGTAAGCAACGAATCTCGACCAGCCACCTCAGAGACCCTCTGACCACTCGTTCATAACCTGCAGAACCTGGACAAGGCCCCCAGATGCTCGTCTGTCATGTTGAGGTTCCTGCGTTCCTTCCCTAGGCCCCTATGTTTGGGGTCTGCCGTGCTTTGACGATGGTGAAAGCAAGCGCCTAGAAACGCCCTCTCCCCACAAGCAGAAACGGACCTTACCTAACCAGTCGTGCCTTCACCAAGTCCCTACCGCCTGGAGAGCATCGAGTGTTGATCGTGGCTCTTTCGCCCCAACGGCCGGGCCCCGTGTCTCTCCCATATTCTGGGTGGAGGGACTCATCGTTCGGCTCACCCTTCGCCATACAGACAGCTCGTACGACGTATAGCAAAACACGACTAGATACTCGCCTGCTCGGCATTTCTGTACCTATCTACTTAGAGTGAATGGACCGGGTTGCAACAGTAAGAGACCTGTAGAGAACATACAGAAGAAGGAAAGAAAAAGAAAATTAGTTCTTTATTTGCCACTCACGAAGTAATTACCGCTCTACAATTGTTGAAGCAGGAAACGTTTTATTTTCGGAAGTCTATGTACCAGTCGCACGAAGCGTAATGTAACGAAGTATGAAAGTCGGAAATTTTCATAATTTCCCTAAAAAATGTTCTCGCGCTAAGAAAATTTGTGCTGCACACGATAAGACGGCAGAAATTGTTTTCTCTTGTTGTCACACAAACAACAGAAAAAAACAACGAACAAAATTGTAAACAGCACAGAACAAATGAAGCACGTGTAAAAAGAGTGGAGGTATGTATTGGCATCCCGCGAGAACAACGTGTGTAGAATAGATTTTGCCCCCCGCAGTGACAGTGACGTGTCTGCAGCTGGACGCTCTATGTACGCTGGCACTGTTGTACAGTTACAGCAGTAATTTCCTATTTTCGGTTGTCAGGTGGTCGACGGGTTGGTTCCGGCCAACGAACAGCCGCGACACCACCATAGACAAGAATGCTGAGCAGAACGCGGTGTCACAGCAGGAGCGGCAGCAGCGCACGAGAAAAGCGCCCGGTATAGTGAGAGGAGCCAAACAGCATGGCCCTTAACCACTGACAGTGCTCCGACCCCTCCGATAGTAATCTTAAGGCCCTCTCCGTCTTCCGACACCTGATGTTTTCGGTGTCGTCTGTAAGCAGCCGAAGCCAAAACGAGGCGTGACCGCCTTCGTGTGTCTATTGTGCACCGATCATTACGTCGAAAAAATAAGAAGCGCCGAATCGTACATGCCAACTGCACGAAACGGAAGCTGCTATTATGTACGTTCACCATTGCTACTAGCAGTCACTTCTGGGCGACACACTGTCTACCAGTCGCGTGCCCGCTTCGTTGGCCTAGTTTATTGCTCTGACAGTTGTCCAGCTCTATTATCAATTTCAGAGCTTTTGTTGTATTGTGCTGCAGTGCCAAGTGACGTAGGAAGTCTAGTATCGACGACCTCGATCTATACATACACACCTATATATATATATATATATGAAAAAATTATCACGATATCTGAAAGAGTCTAATATTACAAAGAAAGAAAAACGAGAGACATAAAAAAATACCAACACATTTATTGCTATCGTTGTTATGAGAAAATGATCTATGTTCTTTACTAGATTTTAGACTAGTCCAAGTACTATAGACAACTTAGGCAGCAACAAACATTGGCCAGTTGTAGCAACAACGCGATTTAATCAAGCAGAAGAAAAAAGTGTATCTCTCTTCTAGATTGACTGCTTTCTTTCATACGGTAGCAAAATCCTTTGAATTTCAAGCCATCCATTCGAATAAGTCTGTATGACGCCTGCGTGCAAATACGTAATGTTTATGTGTACGTATTACAACTAGACCAAACTAGTAGTTTAAGGCGCCCGTCTCGGACCATCCATAACAACAAGGAAGTGCACGACCACTGCGGAGATTGAGTTTTAACATTTCTACAATTCTGCGAATCTTAGCGTAGCCACAATGACCTCAGATTAAAAAATCAATCGTCCATGTTACGATACAGTGTGTAGTGTATAGCTGAAGCAACAAGGAGTACAAGTACCATAGCAACATCAGATCATATTGGAAGGTGCCAAACATCTTGTGCTTCTTTGCGTATTTTTGGCCACAAAGGCCAGCTGTGACCCAGGTTGTGAACCTTTACCCATCCGAAGACATATCATTACTAACGACTCAGTCATAGTCCAAGAACATTGTGATAGCCATCTTGCGGCTGCAGGTGGGTTCTATATATGCACCTAGTAAGACATTCTATCCTGTCAAAGATACAATTATAAATATAGAGAGACTAATTACGCGGCATAAGTAGTAATCTAAACATAATCGTCATTGATAAATATTTGTATGGCAGAAATTTTGGATTCGCGGTCTAACGAACGGTGTGTAGTGCTGGTTGTGCGGTGAAAAGTCAGTTCACTGCGAGATACATTATTTTCATGAAAAGGGAGCGGATACATGTACATCTATCAAAATTGTTCAAAAGATGCCTCTTTCATGCTTATATAGTTAACGTTTGCTTTACCCTACATACACTGACTATAGTCTTGACCTTGAAGCGCCAGCAATAGTCGTTACCATTTACCTGTTTACCTAAGCTACGTTGTGCTCTGTTTCCCATATGTTTTCAAGCACATAGGCGCATCTCGCTGTTTATCTGAATAGGCGCAACCTGGGATCGATTACGTTCCTGATGATGTATCTGATCCGACACGGTCCCACAGAGTGCGGCTGTTGTCTAATCAGACATTGTTCAAAACTGATTGTTGTAAGTAACAAATACTCGTTAGATAGTGGCTTACACATCATAGACAGGAAGGCAAGGGTAATAGCTTAGGACGTCGTCATGGCATGAACGAGTACCATGAACGAAGAAGTAACGTATGATACTGCGACAATCCACCTCTTGATTAGTATTGTCCATTGGACAAAGCATTACCGACCCAAGAGAAAATATTACTGCCACCGAACTTAAACGTTCCTTCCCTTTAGATGACCAAAAAAAGCTAAATAGCACTTGTATGGGTGCAAAGAAATGAGCGATTTTACAAATCGCAATTGAGCTTACTTGCATGGAGACACCTGTAGCTTGTAGTGGATACCAAGCCCTGTAAACAAATGCGCCAGGCTCCCTGTCGGCATGTAGACAAAAACGCAATTTTGCCTAAAGCTACGTAGTAGATGCAGCGTAGCTATAAGGGTACTAGGATATAGGATTTATAAAGTAAAAGAGGGAACATGCGAAGGTTTCACAAGCAAAGGCAGGCATCGCTCAGCAGAGCCAACAGAAACAACTTTTGCATATTGTCTATCCTATTACTATGCAACAAGGCTTTAGGCCCAAGGACAATTCGAATACTATTCTTTGCTCAGACATCGAAGCCCACACACTCGTATAAATGCATGATCACCGACCAGTTGCACGCGCATCCACTAAGGTGAGTCTACAATATAGTTCAGAATGAATTGTGCAATCCTCCTTGTCTAGGCTTAATATGTATAGAAAAAGGTGTTATGGAAGGGTATTTTTTTTTCTGAAATTTTGACACCTTTGACATATTCGTACAGCCGCAGAATGGGCCCTGTCAGGCCTAATGAATTTCAGACTGCTAACAACCGAAGGGAAACGAAAGGGCTAATGTGCAATGAACAGTCATGCGTAGACGCCTGCTGCCTAACAAGGGCTTAAGTAAGATTTCGCTGCTGCTACCGTTGTGGCTGCGGTGTGGTAGGAAAAGCTTCCAGCTAACTTACGCTATCGTGGTTAACCTCATGGACCTTGAAACCGACTTCCGTGCTTCTTTCTTCGGCCTCTGTTCGCTCGTCTGTCGTTAGACCAGACGCATTATCATGACACAATCTATCCGGAACTGTAAGTGCCAGTAAAGGATTCCTGTCTGTATCCTGTCTTTTGTATTCCTGTTGGCGTATTGTTCTCCTTGGCCTTCTACCTATGATTGGCATAGATGAATGCACCCGCGCAACTACGAGAGCAGTCGTCAATGTTGTAAAAGTCTTGCTGCTAAGCTGAAAATAAGCGGCGGAAAGTTGCCTTCGGGGATGGGTGATAAAGAACACGGGAACACGTAGAAAGTTGAGTATGATGATACGATGCAGCAACAGCAGCATCAAAAACAGCAGTAACCGTATCCGCTGCTCCTATGGTGAGAACCAGCTGCAGTAGACAGGTATGTACTACGTGCAGTGCTAGCCATCAGTGCAGTAGGCCCCAGCTTTCTTAGGCCGGTCGGTAGGGGCGAAGGGGTTAAGGGCATTTAGCGGGCAAGCAGCAGGCAGGTCTTGTTGCCAGTAATGACAGAAAACGACCGATTCTCTGCGATCGTCGGCACCGGGAGTTGTAAGAGTGATCGTCGTTTTCATTGACGGAAAAGTCAAAAAGGGAAAAGGAAGCGGAGATGATCGACGTGCCCGCCGCTCGCTCATTTATAATTTCCTGTATACTGCTGCTCTAGTACACCACCGCCGGCACCCCACCGCCACAACCTGTCACAGACATCTGACAATTGGAACTCGCGAATAAGAAAGACGATGGCGACGGGGCTACAACCTGATGTTACAATCCTCGCTACAGATAAGTCCGTCTTTCGAAGTTTTCATTGAGCAACGAGTAATTGGCAGGCCCGTCTCACTATGGAATAACAAAGCTTTATTTAGGAGAAAGCAAACACAGATAAAGCAAAGCAGTGCGCTAGTTAAAGACAACATTGTGTATTTATTATTATTCAACGTAGGTGGTGAGAAGCGAGTCAATAACGCGAACGTTGATATAGCATCAAGCGACTTGGAGGACGCACTTAAAAACAATGTGTTTTGGTGTTAAAATGTTAGTACTAACGGCACAGTAAGAGGCGACCTAAAAATTGAAGAAAATAGAATGCATTTTATCTTCACTAGAATACAACTCTACATTTGATTGCTTTTATCGTAATCGAATGTAGCTGGCGTGATCTATGCATTCAATTACGGGATTACATCAAGGGGCACTACGGTCCTTACATACAGAACGGCCTGCGTATGCACTTGCACTTTTAACCGATATGGTAAATAAGTTTTTAGAGGTAGTTGACGATGGGGGAATCACCTAAACTCAGAACTCGTTTTTTGGCACGAACAAGATTAAAAATCAGTCCACCGGAGTGGTTGAATCCAGCGTGTTCATCGCTCAGCGATGGTAGGGGGCAAATTAAAAAACAACAGCAGCAGTATTTGATGCTTGGCATGATGTCCGAATCTCTTTCAAATCCTGCCTACTTAACATCCATTCAATTAAAAACGTACTACTTGTTAAGCCATTTCGTGGTCTAAAATTTTAATATGATACAACGAGAATGATTTAACGAATATTCGAGGATTCATGAGTTTGTATTTTAGATGTTTATTCTTATTAAAATGACAGCGCGAGTTGCTTTACTAATGCGCTAACGCTAACTCACCTCATCATACAAAATTTCAGGCCACACTGTTCGATCTAGTTCGGGTAATACTGTAGGTTCAGTTAATTGTAGGATTATTACTGGATGTCTGGCCTTAATTTCACAGGGCATATATAAAGAAAAGACACGCAGGATATAAACACCGCTCATATTTATAAGTGCAATTTTTTTTATGAAATTTACAAGACACACGTATATGATGTAATTTGGCAGTAGGGTTTTGAAATGCACTACTTCGAAGAGGTAATCCATTTAAGCTTTGAGTGTATCCAATACCTTTCGTTTTTATATCTGCCCTTTATATTTACATTCGAACGTTTTTACGTCTTACGTCAAGGCCTATGACTAGCACTAGTTTTCAACCGGGACCTGAGAACTTTCAGTACTTACAAATCCTCTTCATAGATTTCAGAAACTGAAAATATGTAGGTGCCGCAACCCCTTATGTTTTGTGTCAATGGAATTTATGAGAAGTCTAATTTGGACCAGATGATATATAGGATTGCATAATTGGTCCTTGAAAACGAGATGTCCTTTAAAACTTCTTTCTTCTGACGATTGATCCGTCGCTAAACATCTGTCTCAGCTAGCTTGCAACAAGTATTCAGGTAAGGATTTGTCGGAAATCGGCACGTCAAATATATGTGATACTTCGAACCAATTGCCAAATCTACGTTATCATATCAGCCAGCAATGGTTAACGTTGAACGCGAAGACTCATCTGCAACTATCGAGCTGCGCCTATATTGCGAATGTATGATTCCGTCATAGGATGAAAGAGTATTGCATTTTTGCGTTCGAGTTTTGTGAAGTCAATACAGCAGAATTGGGCATAGGCGCCTGTTTACATAAATTTGATATTAAATCATGAAAATTGATGCAACTGTACAAACTATACAAAAGATTTATGTAAGAAATTAACATAGAAAATGGAAAAGCCTGTAGTTACTAGATAAGGAAACTCCACCTGCAAACCATGATAGGTACTATTCCTTACGAGATTCAAAGCGCAAGGCTTTCAATTTAATGAACAGTGACCTTTAGCTAGTCGACGTCCCAATCGAAGTAAACCCACGCCTTATCACTTAGCGGCTATTGTTTCAGCCTATCGCTATCCAACCTGTCCTATGTTCCCCTCAATCCACGAATGCTGACGTCTCTTTGTTGTTGCAAGGTTCCATTAATTTACCGAAAATGTTGCGTAATCGCCTAGAAACGGTGCGATTTCTAGCTGAACCGTAGGCACTTGTGAGAATGCTGTTTGAAAACGTCCATCCGGAATGCACCATCGCCACCCCCTGTCCTGGCGAACTGCTACAAGGGTTGAATTATAAAGATCTTGTCTCGCAGAAGGACGATACGCTTTTTAGGTCAGGAGACAGCGGTGTCACAGTTGCAACCCCCGTAAGGATCAGCCAACTTTGATTTTTTACCGGACTTCAATCAAAAGTAAATGAGAATATGCGCATGTGCATCCACGCAAAACTGAGATACAGTCAATACATAATTGGTTATCGCTGTAACTAGACTACATGTCAGCTTGGTGGCCATGTGCTGCGCGAAAGAGAACCATAGACCGCCCTCAGCAGCAGCTGTACTGCCGCGATCCCTACGGAATGATACTGCTTCTGCTGTTGTGACTGAAACCGGTTGCATTGATATGCCACAGACGCCGTTGTCCTGGATAGGCTGCAGAAGCTTCCGTATAGCTGCCGAATCAGGAGAAATCGCAGGCCGACGTGGAGAAGAAGGTACCGAGGCTACGGAA